GGTAGTCTCAGGGACGCACCAGGCGTTATCTGGGAGGCGAGGCTGGGGCTGCAGCATTCCCATTATGTCAGAGGGGAGTTGTTTGTTTTTAAGTAGCGCCAGGCACTGAGACAATGCAGGCTTCTCACATGAACTTGCTTACACTACAATACTAGTAAATCATGATTATTACCCAACAGTTGCGTGTTTTTAATCATCAAAGTACTTAAAATATTATAATAATGCTTGGCACTTTTTGACTTCAAAGCACGCTGCAAACAGTAATTAGGTTTAATAACCATGCTGTGACAGTGAGACATTGCTATCTCTTGTCTTACAAAGGCGAGGGGGGGTTAGTCCCCGACACGGTTGCATCATCCCATGTGAGAGTGCGGATCTACCACTGAAGGCTGCAACTTGATAAACTCACCTCCCTATAGGCAAATACCCCACTGCCAGCAGCGGCAGGGAGGGCTTTGAAGATGCTTTCTGGGCTAGCGGGGCGGGGGCAAGACATTTTCAGTGCTGTTTCGGAGCACCTCCTCAAGACTGTAAAACCCGATCTGATTCACATTTTGTTCCATGAGGGCCTGGAGCAGCTTTTGAAACAGCGCTGGAAAAAGTTTTACCCCATCTTGGCTTCCTGGCTGGTGTGTTTTCACCACCCAGCGAAGTGTTGCGGAGACTGGAGAGAATAGTTGTGGACAGCCTGTGTCAACTGTAGGTCATTTTTCCTTTTACAAGCCAAATCTTTGAGTTGAGTCCTTTGCTAAAGCAACAGCTCTCCCATTCCTGCCTTTTAGTTTGCATCACATAGGAGATAAAAATTGTGCAGGAAGTCGTTGCTAGACACATTTAAATACCAGAGACTCATAAACTGGTTAAATTTGAACACTGATGTTAAAATCAGTGCTGATTAGAGCCGATTCTGATTTTATATATTTTTTTAAAGTTCCAAAAGCCTGCACTCTTTTGGATGTTTGTCATGTTGGTTGCAAACACCAGTTGTGATAGTTCCTTGGGACAGAGTAATTTCTAGCTTGCGTTTTATTAACTACTAGATTATCTACATGAATCTTTGCAGTCTGTGCTGGAGCATTTGCGAGGTGCTCTGCCTCCCATCTGAGGTGGTGGAACCCCCTTATCCTGGCAGTTGCTAGCTCTCTAATGTGTGGGTGTCAGTTAAGAAATGTAAAAGTTACTTGCAACAAGCACTTTTTGTTACTATGAGTGCATAAGCTTCCTTTTCTATAGTAAAGCAAGGCTAAAGAGCAGTCAGGGAACAAAGGGCTTCCCTATAAAAGCTAGTGGCCGCAGGTTAGGCGGCTTCTGCCCTGTCCCGTGGTCCCCTCTCGTGTTCTTGGCCAACTTGCTGGTCTTCTGGTCGGGTGTGAAACGGAGCCTCTTCCTCACTACTGTTGAAAACTGGTCTGACAGGGCAGGCATGCCAAGGTGGGTATCCAACAGAAGGAGGAAGGAAGCACAAGGAAAGGTTTGTGAAACCCCGTACTTGTGAACTCTGCGCTAGGCTGCTCGTTATAACTGCTTGTTATTATTATAACAAGCTATCAGCAAGCTGCATCAAGTTTTGTCAGAAACTTTTGACTTCTTTGTTTCACTATTATGAAAGCAAATAGTAACCCAGGCTTGGCTATACTCAGTCATTCAAAGGAAAGCCAAGCAGCAGGTTCTGTGTACCAGTGGGCAGGATGATATTACCTTGTCTAGCTGGCCAGGCGCTTGACTCAGCGGGCTAAATCAGCATTAGTTTTTTTTAAACTTTTAATCTCTGCCTGATTGACAATAATAGGTTATGGCTACACAGAACAGGCTGGTGCTGTGCAGGCCCCCGAGTTACTCCAGGACCCGGAGAGGTGAAACCGCCTCATCCAGTGCATCGAGTTGGAGGCAGGTACCCTCACCTCGAGGCGTTGCACCCACCCTGCTGTGCACGGCTGCCCTGCGGCTTGGAGGTACCAACGCTGCATCTCCTTGGGCTTTGTGTCTCCCCGGCCGCAACTGCCAGCGCTTTCCTCGTGATTGCAGTTCTCACGTGATGCCCGGGCACTCGCAGAGTTTGGTGTTTGACTGTGTTCAATGCTGTCATTTAGCAAACTCTTCTGGAGGGCAAATAGAACATATGTTTTTGCCTTTATTTCTAAAATGCAGTATGTAGAAGCCAATATAGTGTAGCCACGGCTATTTGCGTGATAACTTGCTGTTTCTTGTTTATGAGGTAATTACTGTATGATCCCCAAATGAAATTCTTCTAAGGGAAAAGTCCTGTCAATCTTATTAATTATTGATAATAATAGTAATTATCATGTGAGCAAGCTGCTTGCCTGCTTTATGAGTTTAGGCAAGTCGGTTCCCTAATAGGTGGCTTGGTTTTTTCAGCTGTAAAATGGGGAAAATGGTATTTTTCCTCAGTTTTGAAAGGTGTTGCTCTGCGAGTGCTGTGTAAACAGAGATGTTTTTACCACGTCAGCTGTAGGGAAGGGGAGGCCAGCTGCCTGTGTTTGGCAGGCGGGGGTCTTGCAGAGCAGGGTGTGAGCAGCGTGCAAGTTGTGCAGTGGCTGAGGTGGAAGCTTGCAGCTTTGCTGCGCTGGGGTGGGGTGAGGTTGTTTCATGTTGCAGGGCAATCAGCTGCCAAATACATCTGATAACATAAGCGTCTTTGAGAGCCAGTCGAAAACATCAGTTTTGCCTTGCTTGCTTTGGGTCATAGGCTTCCCACTCCTTCCCAGTCTGGGAAGGCTCTGACCCCATTGGCTTCTGCCAGTGATGCTGTGCTAAGGAAACGACAGGAGCAGAATTTGGAGCGTTTCTGTCGACCTGAGCGCTGCCAGGCTCTGTGCACTGGCATACAAAGCCAGATGTACGGGTCCTCGTGCACCTTGTGCAGTGCCTCTGGAGATGCTGACGCCTCCCCGAATTAGGGTGTTCCTTTCCTGCAGAGATCCTCCAGTAACGGAGTTCAGGATTTGTCCCTAATGGTCTCTGCTGCTTCTAAGCATAATGGATGCGGGGTGAGGGTGATGGCCAGTGCTTCTCCACCTGAAACAGATGCCCAGGCTCTGCACTGGTGCTGCGTGAGAGCAAGGTGGAAGTGCTGCATCAGCACATCCAAGGCGAGTCCCCGTTCTGAGTGCAGCCACTTCATTTCCATCATCTAAAGACAAGTTGTGTATCGAGGCTGGGTCTGGCAGAGCCAACATCCTTTAAAGAGCCATTCTGGCCTCTTTCCTTGTCTTCCCTCCCTTCCGTTTACCTTTCCTTTACCTTTCACTGGAGAGGTTTAAAAACAGCTCGGATAAGCAGGAGGGAAGATCTAGAGGTGGTTGCTCCTGCATCAGTCAAGAGAGGCCCTGTGACCCCCTGATTGCTGTCCCAGCCCTGCGCCTTGTTTGTGTGACATGTAGGATGGACCAGTTTTATCTAAGTCTCAGAAGAGATGGGACAGTCTCAGTGGATTGCCCATGCCACCAGGCTCCTGGTCCCCACCAGAGCTACCAGGCAGCTGGAAAGACAAACAAGAGCTGACTCCACCTACCAGCAGTATGGAGACAGCAGCCCGTGAGATCGACAGCCCAAGAATGTGCACACAAAAGAAGCATTTCCCTCGGCCACGACAGTAAAACCGCCAGACAACCACATGCAGCATGTGATTTCCCAAAAGCATCAGTCCAGATCCCAACTTCTTTGTGCCACACACTGTTTCCCAGGATCAGATCACAGTGGCAATGTGTAAAAGGCACTTTCAAGCACTGAAAATTAATCATATTTTCCTCAACATTGTTTATGGAAACCGTGGAGAGCACTCCTGCCCCTCTGTGCTTGGCCAGCTGGCTCAGCTCACCGGCCCTCAGAGTCAAACCCTCCGCAAAGATCGGTGGTGTTTATGGTGGAGCTACTCTGCCTTGGTAGAAGATGTCCAGGCTTATTTTGTGGGGTAAAAGCTTCAGCGCTGACCTGGGAGGGGTATTCTGTTGACCTGTAAACACAGAGCATCTTGCCCTCTTCTTTGCTTTGTGTCACTGCTTAACGGTAGCTGGTATGCAGCCTGTAGTAGGCACCATGCCATCTGCTTGCCAAGGCTGAAAATGGCTTGTGAGAGCACCCAAATGCTTGGGAGCTTTGGCCAGCAGGACCCTGGCACAGAGTGGAAATAAGGTGAGTCAGGATGAGTGTGGTTTCCCTTCTGCCTCTCTGGTTTTGCACTGATAAAATGGCATTGCTTTCAATGGAGCAGCTCTGGTGTAAGACAGATCTGATCTGCTGTGTGTAAAAACTGGTTGGGCTCAGTGGTTTTTGAATTCCTGGTTTTAATCCTTTTTGTTGGGACTCTCTGGAGTCTGTTGTGCATTTCTTAGCTGTAAAGGGAACCATCAATAACGATGATCACAGGCTTTGTCAGTAGACTTCCGCAAGTGCTAATGAAATGGCAAATGTTCAAACTTGAAAATGAAATCTCTTGTTTTCAGTGGGATTTTTCTGCCCTTCCCTCCATCATGTGTGCCTTGTACTGCTTTAGTATCACAGGGAGCTGTGGGTGTAGTTGCTGTGGCATTGATTAATGTATTAATATTTTTAAAGCTGACAGGAACCATCCATATGCAGTATGGTCCTTTGGAGACAAACACGTTGCTGATGTTGATTGCAGTGGATGTATGCCTGCTGTGATTTCACCTGCTAAGAAAATTGTCTCAATTTACAACTGGGCCTTTCCCCCCAGAATAATCATTTTTGGGTTTAGATGTCAGATTTTCCAGGAACTGGCATCAGCTGGGTTCCGTAACCTGCACTTAGAAGTAATATTTAGTTGATAAGGAGTTTGTTAAGGGACAGTGGAGCCGAGAGCCTAACCCTCACCCGTGTCTCTGGATGGACCCTTCGGGGAGGAGAGGGGCCAAGAACTGGCCATGCATACAGGTGCAGCAGGGTGTGCTTTTCACTTTGCATCTTGAACGACTGGGTTTGGGGACGGAGCGCAAAATTCTGACGGTACCGTGTTTTAACAGGGAGAAGACTACGAGGAAAAGCATTCTACAATGTCAATGGCAAGGTGTACTGTGAAGAAGACTTCCTAGTAAGTAAGATTTCAGGCATTTTTTTTAGTTGTTTTTAAACTAAATTGTTCTTTTATATTGGCTTGTTTGCTTTGAGAGACGGTTTAGTCATCTGGGGCCTCCTGCCAGTGCTGCAATCGGAAAGCATTTACCACTAGCTCTATAAAGGCAGGATCAGGCCCTTGGTTTGAAGTGGTGGCTATGAAACCAAGTACATAACTGTCTATAAGCCATCACAAAGTGTAAATTATGAGAGTAAACACTGGAGCTGCTCAAGCTTGGGACTTGAATTGCAGCCACAAAGCCTTGCCTGCCAAGCTAGAGCTTAAAGTCAAACATCTGGGGAATACCAATCATAACAAGAGGGGAGACGTTTTTGACTGGAGCACGTCATCGCTGTGTACAATGTTGCTTTGTTGCAGGCCAGTTTTAATCACTGCTCTGCTCAGAGTGGTGTGGAACTGCATTGTGATTAGCTAAAAACTGTTAGCCACGGAGGAGCAACTAATTTTCTTTCCATGCGCCCGTAGCTTTTATAAACGCTTTACTTTAATAGAGACTGAGTCATGAATAGAAAAATGAAGCTTGTTGCTGAGCTGTGTTGTTCCAAAAATAAAATATTTGTGCAATTAAGGGTGAGGATTGTGCAGTACACAGAGAATGACTTGGATAAGTGGCAGACCATTTATAATTAAGATAAAGAGGACGGCATGGCTGGGAATTGAAAGTAGAGAGGAATGATATATTTTAGCTTAGAGGATGATGAATTGGAGAATCAGTATGCTGAATTTATGCCACCTTTATTTATTGAAATACCATTCATTTAGAAGCTTGAGTCTTCCAGAATGACTTTCCATTTCTAATGAATATATGGCCATGGTTTTTGCAAAGGAATTATTCAAAGTACATCCCACAACAAAAATGTTACTGGCAGTTCAGAGTGCGCAAATGCATTTCTCATCAAGGCAATCCATAAAAATAATGGAAATTCCTAAAATATAAGCCATGTTTGCCTTCATGTGTTACACCTTTACTTTCAGCCTACCACAGCTGGAGCCTGTTGAAAAGAGCAAATTGTATTTTGTGCAGAAAATAAGTTTCTTGTTAGAATTGCAATGTGTTACTGTTTTGCTTGCATTTTGGAGAGAAAATTATTTTTTCTCCCTTGCTTTTTTCTTTCCTGTGTTTCTGCAGAAGCACAGGGAGAAGGTAGAAGAGGTGGAGTGTGAGATGGAGGGGCTTAAACCTTTGAGATTTTAATTTTTGAACTGTGTTGGAATGTACTTTCCCCATGATCAAAATCTTTCATCCAGACTTAATGACATGATAGTTGTTATTAGCTTGTAATTTCAGCCTAAACATGGGAATTTTAAATCTAAAAATCTCAGTCTTTTGGAGAACACTCAGTTTTCAAGTGTTTGGGGGGAAACCTCCTTAGTTCTTAGACATGTTCTGTAGTAGGCTTTTGAAGGGAGATACTTGCAGTGATTTTTCCCAAGAAAACTGAGGTTAAGGACCTGATAGGAATAAACTTTCTGCAAGTTAGGGAACTGTTGGGACATTTAAGGCAGAGATTTAAAAACCCAAACCTCCCACAGGTGTGTCTTAGCAGATTCTCAGTAGCACTGAGTGGTGGGAGAGAAGCAGACCAAGGGACTCACTGCTGCAGAAATCAGTAAAAGAAATCAAATTCTGATGTTGTCCCTGCCCGCGTTAAGCCAGCTGCTTCTCAGAAAGCGATTTCATCTTCTCTCAGCTTCCCCTGAGCAAATGGCTAGGAATTGTCTTGTTTCCCTAATAAAACAACTTTGCCTATTTTAGAGTTCTGTGGACAGGGAAAGCTCAAAGCTTTTCTGAAAGTCAGAGGAAGAGGCTGCAAAGTAGCAATTAAAAAGGAAATAATTTTAACTACTTCATATTCCCAGGTCTTGCTCCTAACGACTTGGAAACCCCCAATCCTCTCTAAAAGGAAGTGTGTTCAGTCCAAAGCAGATAGCCAAATGCTTTTTCTGTATAACTGAGAATATCAGTCTCTACCGTAACTCCAAATCTTAGTGCAGCTTGGACTCCCTGCTGACAGTATGGTAGTGGGATGTTAGGGAAGTTAAAGATGGTGGGGAAGGGGTGGTTCAGGGGAGAGGGAGAGGGAATTGCTTGAGGGTGAATTAGGCTGATCTTGCACGTTGTCCTCTGACCACTACCATGCAAGCTTTGCAGGCCAAGAAGAGAGTGCCAGCAGAGCTATAGGAGCTGCTATGCGTCATAACAGTCTGTGGAGTTTTCCCATAGCCCTGAATCCACAGGTCTTCCACAGAGACATGCCTCCTCCCTCTCTGCAAGCCTCTGCCCTGCCCTATAGCAGCTGCGTGAGTACACGCTCCTACCTTTGACCATTCTTGCACTGGGAGACTTCTCTCTTAGCTCGTTGCAGCCTCTCTCTGGCCAGTAAATGCAGTCAGAAGCAGAGTGGATCACATTCTGGTCTCATTCTTAGGTAAAAGTATAAGAAAAAGGTGATTTTAATTTGGGGAGGTAAACAGAGGCAGTCTATCTATGTTATAATTGTATTCCTTCTAAGAAAATAGTCTCCTGTTAGTGTCCTTGCTCTTCCTTGGCTTTTGTTTGCCTGGGAACTGATCAGGAGAATTAGCTGCTCCTATATGGGTATGGGAGCCTGGTCACAGCTCTGTGGAGTTGCAACCCCGCAGCTTGCGACCAGGTTATTTCATGTATGGCACAAACATAACAGGAATTAGAAAGCAGAGCAGCTTCAGAAAATTTGGGCAGGAGGTACTGTGCTGTCACACTGGGGTCTTTGGTGAAATCCATGTAATAACAACTGAATTGGAAGGGCCTGTGTGTACATGGTTAGGCTTGCAACAGCAGGATTCCCAGGGACAGATGTGAGGAGTTGATGTTTCATTGCTGACAGTCCCGCCGAAGCAGCAGTGGTCTGAATGAGCCCCTCGTTTGCCCTCCCAGTGAGAGGCATGCTGATGGGAAGCAGCTGACTTGCAAATGTAATGCAAACGGAGAGCAGGGGTGGTAGTGGGCTGAAGCCTCCCTGCTACCTGGGGGAGAGCCCGTCCCCTTCCCACCCTCAACAGGCAGCACAGGGCAGAGCTGAGGGCTGTAATTCTTGCAGAGCTCTGTCTGTCCCCACTGCTGCCTCTGTGTATCCCATTAATTTGCTGCAGGTGCTTCTTCCCCATCATCCCTGGCATCATGCTGGGGATGTCCTTCTGGCCAGTCCAGGCAAGACCCAGAGACTGCAGTAATTCCCGCTTTGGACTGCAGTTAATAGCACATGAACAACAAGGGGCAGAAAAGCTGAACTGGTTCTTGCTGTGAACCAGTCAATGTACGAAATTTTAGGGAATGGGTATTATTTATGGGTTTCTTCTTATTGTAACTGTTAGAAATGTTGAACATCCTATAGATGTCAGTATTTTAAGTCTCCTGCAATACTGCTGTTTTCTGTCAGAATGGCTTCTGCTGGAGCAGAGTCTCCAGAGCTGTAGTTGATGGCTCGTATGCAATACCTGGTTCTTTAACTCCCACTCACTCAAGCCAGATCAGCTCTTTCTCTCTATCCAAGACAATATGTAGAATTCAGTGCAATATTATGTACGGTCCTTGAAGCCAAGACCCTGAGAAAAGCCATTACCTGATCATTATAGATGTTTGGCTCCTGTTGTACGAGCAGGGCTTGCCCTCCTTGGCTAAACTGTCCCTGTCGAGGTTCAGCACAGCGCTGGTTGCATCCCTTTCACCCCAGAGGCAGTTGCACTTCAGTGGTGAAATGCTGTGTGGGTCCCATCTTTTAAGAGAGCTCAGTTGTCTCTTAAAGCATAGCAAGTGCCAGAGAGCTTTGGCTACCAAGTTGTTTCAAAAAAATTGGTTGTAAAAGCATGACATGAATAGCTACTAGCATCAAGCATTCAAGATCTGGCTCTTTCTTTGAAAAGTGCTTTTGATTTCTGGATGAAAGGTGTTAGAGAAATGTAGATGTTATTCATTATAAGCAATTTCCACTGTGCAGCCATAAAGCTATCCAAAGCGCAGATACACCCATCAAAACCTTTGGCAATAGCCACAAGGTACATTCTTCTAGCAAATAGTTTTCCCACATGTTTGCTCTTACTGAGGGCACAGATTATCTTTGTCTGAATCAGGCAGCTTATTTTGCTCATTCTTTCCATGGAAGAAGTGCTGGAAGTTTTTAGACCCACTTCTGGAGTTGTAGATGGGGAAGGGATGCCACATGCCACAGTTGTCCTCACAAGAACAGTGCCTGCCTTTTGTGTGTGGAGTTGCGAATCGATGGGTGAGGGCTGGTAAACCCTTACCACCTGGAGGACATGGCATACCTCTTCCTTCTTTGTTCATTTTTGTCAGCCTCCTGCTTCCAGCCCTGATTAGCTGCATATTCTCTCAGTGCTTAAACCCAAGTCACATTGGCTAAAAGTAGTGAATGAATCAGATTTTTAGAAAATCCACAGATAATTCCACTTTTGTCTAAGCAGGGTGTAGAGATTGCCTAATCTATGCAATTTCCAGTAGGAGCACTTCAGTAGCAATATTGCATGTTAGTGTAAGGAGTAAAAAGGACAAAACCAAAACCCCAGACTTTTCATTGCTTTGCTTTAGCTCCAGGGAAGATCCAGTTACTCTTTTTTTCATGCCACCTTAAGGTAGCAAGTCCAGCAATATCCAAGTCTTGCCTCACCCCTGTTAGGATAGTTATTTCATGAAAGGAAATAAAACAAATGACAGTTTAATCCTTCCCTGAAAGCTCTTAGGACACAGATGGCTAACTAGCCATAACAGGGACACTGTTCCTGGTGAAGTGAACAAAAAATAAATGCCTTACTGTATAATAAATAATCCGAGTCAGATGTTCTTGTTCTATTTTGTTGATAAATTGCTGCATAATCATGGGTGAAGGAAAAATAGCTCAATAATTTTAATTTGTCTTTCCTTTTCAATGCTCAAATATCACGTAAAGAAATTTAAAAGA